CAGTTTACCCACAACGTCAAGGTGGTATTGTACGTACTGTACACATGTACTGTGTGGGTATTACACTTTCACCTGTTCTCTGCACACCCGTTAACCCCATCCTATCTGTCAAGTAAATCTGCACCAGGCTTACGCAACACCTTATAAAACTTGGCCTTCACCCAAAATTTTACACAATCACCTGCCTGTACACATAACAGACCTGTTTTCACTTGCACGTTCTCAATTCCCCCTGTGTCAGTACCGGTACCTGGAACCTGTGCGGGATCCCTTATGCAAAAAATTCAGCTTTGCACATTCGTTTTCGACAAATACTGTATGTCATCAGACGTTCAAAAAAACAAAAAAAAAAACCGGGAAAAAAACCCATCACCTTGGTAATATTGATGCATCTTGCTTAAGATGAGGTTAGGCAGAATCATCTAGGAACACGTCTTAGCTACCAGTAAGATCAATCTTAGCGCTGGGGCTATTTTGCTGAGATGATTGCAAGACGAGGAGTTTTGTGGAACTGGTTTCTGGTAATTGATAATGCTTACTACTGATCCTGACAGTTCAGGGACAGATGCAGGTGATTTTCATTTAGGGGTCACAAGAAGCTGGAAGTTTTTTCCATTTTAAGAAAAACCTTTCACTACCTTTTTTTGGAGAGCACTAGTTGCATTTGTCCCACAAGGCACTCCTTGTTGAAAGTGCTTGAGAAAAAAAAATTGCCTTCAAAATTACTTACTGGAACCAGCGCCAACAAAGTTTTGAAAAAATATTGGCCAATTTTTTTGTCTCAACAAGCTGCCTAACAGGATGCATAAGGTCATTTCCAGAAATTAGAGGTCCAAAAGTGAGATATTTTTGTGTCCCTGTTAATATACATCTAACCTTTGTTATTTGACATGGAAATATCAGTGGAATTGGTTTCAAACTGTTACTATTTGTTTGGCAGGTAATTTGCATTAATTCATTACTCTTGGAAATTAAAAAAATGTGTTCTGAACTTACAAAATCATATGTCAGAAAGAGACATGTAAAGACACAGACCCCTACTTTCTGGAATTACCTATAAATAAATCAAAAAGTACAACATGCTCAAAGAAAATGTAGAAAAGTACATGTACCTGTACACAGCACCACATGTACGGAGGCACAACTTTTCTTCCTTCAATGACATCACGCTTTGGCTCACAAATGAAGAAATTTTCATTAGCATAAAACAAAAAGGTTGAACTCCTCCCCCCTTTGATTCCTGTTTCAGAGGAAACGGAAAGTCACAGCAACTTTGCAAGAAATCTTTCCTGCACGTGGCGAGCCGTGGCCTTGTGGTTAAGAGTATTGGATTCGTAGTCGGCGGGTAAAGCCGTAGGCTGCGGGTTCGAATCCAGCCTGGGGTCATGGTGTGCGTGCCCTTGGGCAAGGCACATTGTCACTCATTGCCTCTCTCCACCCAGGAGTAATTGGCTAACCTGTGAGGGCAGAGCGGGTTGGTTGTGGTTGATTTACATGCAGCTGCGTTGTGCCAAAATGGCAGCATCAAGCTATATACTCCCCAGGAAGCTGAGATGGTATTTAAAATGTATCATGGGCCCAGTGAGCAGGGGTAATAATAATGGAAAGTGCTTTGATCTCAGTTACATAGTTAAAGGCACTACATAAACACTGTTTTTATTATTCAGGTCATAAAAGTCCTATTCTACATCTATATGTATATCTCCTTTAATATCTACATGCACCAGTAGATGGGCCTCAGAATTGGATATATCATACTGTGTACTGAACCAAGCAGTGGATGGTATTACAAAATGAATGATGGCCACTGAACGAATAAAAGTCATACATGCACATGTGTCGCACCTCGCAAGGCAGACCTGCCAACAATTCAAGATGAAATTACAAGCCGCCAGGCCACAGTGAATGCCAATTATCTCAGTTTACACTTAACAAACACCCTGCAAGTACAGCTACGGGTACCAGACCCCCCTCCCCTTCCACATCAGTGTCACAAGGGACGGACGGTCGTCATCAATTTTTATTTTATGTGATTCTCGACAAGCAGGTTAAGTATTGTGACCAATCTGCAGCTTCCACTCAAGGAGATTGGTCAATGTCAACACTATTTTGCATTGACCTGAGCTCCTGAGCGAAGGCAGTGCATCGACCCAATTGCAAACTCATCTCTCATTTGAGGCCAAAAGTACTCTACGTTCAGAGCAATTGGCAACACCTTGTAGGCAAGCACTGACTTAAATTCCTCTCCTCATTTGCCAAGATAAGTACATCGTGTACATGTACAATGTACAGTATATGATCCAATCCAGGCACAGTTGTAGGCAAAACATCAAGGGAATATCTGCCAACACTTACAACAGGTTTAATGTCACAATATCCATCCCCTATCAGTCGTTGCCATGGTGATGCTAGTACATGTATCACTGTGTTGGGAATAATGAGGCAAAAACAGGTATTCTATGGCCTTGTCATGCTGTCTTTTAACCTTGCCAAATATCAATCCTGCATCATGCCACAGTTGAAGTGGTCAGGGCTTTTAGGGTTTTATGATTTATGAAGATGTACAGTGTACATGTACAGTATGTCTTTTTTTATGTGCCAGTATATTACATGTACATGTATGTACCGGGGTAGGTGTAGAGTATGGGTAGGGCTTTATGTTTCATTTACAAAACATTCAGAAAACTTTTACATACTAGTACAGTTTAAATGTTTAACCATGGCATTGAAACTTTAAACACAACAAATTGTATACAATGTTAATTCATGGTATATGTGACCGAGAAGTAAAGTGGTGTGAAAATCAGATTACATTTTACAAGCATCCTTTACAGTAAAAATGAATGCCAAACTGTTTCAATATGGGCGATTCACAAAAGTGCGCCTTCAAGAGTTTGCAACGCGGTGGCCAATCACAACGCGCGAAATTTGTCGACCCTTTTCAAATGCGCATTGGGTCGACAAATTTCTCGCACTGTGATTGGCCAACGTGTTGCAAACTCTTGAAGTCGCACTATTGTGAAACGCCCGTATTGAAACGTCAAATCTCCAAAAGGGGTGGTTCTGTTTTAACGTTTCAGTACATCTGTTGAAATATGAATTTGGAACTTTTTTTCGTTTAAACGTGTAAACATCCCCCCTTAGTGCGCAGGTGTAGGTACATGTACAACTGTACATCTCGTTTTTATCTTTACGTGGTACATATAGCTACATGTATACATGTAAATATATGCATTTATTTTTACAACCTATTCAACACGGCGAAGCAAAAGAGTCAAGAAATTCATCTGGGAAAATTCTTCGACATGGTTAAAAATAAGTTTAAAAGCCACCTCTTTCATAAAAACAACGGGATGAGAAAATACCCTTTTTTTACCCTGCCTGAATATTATTGCTTTATAATTGAATCACCTGGTCTTTTACAAGAGATCCATAATCCCCTACCGCCACCCCAACCCCTCCCTCAAGTCCTCTGAAATCCATTAGCATTTAGCAGGCAAATCATTACCGCCCAGAGTACCTGCTAGAATCCGCCCACGCTCCATGTCAACACGGGCAAATACATTTCAAATATAGTCTGCAACACGTACAGTGCACTGTTCTGATCAGCGGAAGCTGGTTCGGTCCTTAACGAATTTAGTAATTGCCTTAAATCAGAAACAATCACTGTTCCCCCACTGCAGGTGCACTGATTGACCAATGGATTCAATCAAATACATGAACCGACTCAATCATGGGCGACACAAAGTCTTTCACTCCGTTTTTAAATACATGGGTTTTTCTATAAATTAGAGGCCCAATTTTTTGGTGTCCCTGTCACATCTGACATATGATGTTGTAAGTTCAGAACGCATTCTCTTATTTCCAAGAATGATGAATTGATGCAAATTATTTGCCAAAGAAATAGAAATAGTTTGAAATCAATTTCAGTAATATTTCCATGTCAAATTACACAAGTCGGGCATAACAGGGATAATCCATGCAAAAATGTCACACTTTTGGACCCTGAATTTACAGAACGATCCAAATGCTATTTGGTTTGGTTTCCTTTTTTTTTGCTTTTGTTTTGTTGTTTTTGTTTTCTAAAAGGTATGCTCAGTTGCAAATTCTTGATAAGGACTCGTGACAATTTGAGAGAGAGAATTTAAAGGCCATGAACATGTTGACAACATCTGAAGCAGTGCTGCCCCATACATAAACGTGTACACATGTACGAACCCCTGTGCAGTAAATGTATTTCTCAACTTCCTACAATACACCTTTAAGAAAAGTGGATTCGCAAGATGGTTGGCCAAAAAGAGGGGACATTTCCAAGTAGAGGTACATGTACATGTAAACTGAACCCACTTTGTTTGAAAATTGTCAGATCTGTGTACCCCAATGTTTTTGTTCACTGGTGTACCACAGATGGAAAGTCAAGCCTTGCATGTCAGATATGATGAATAACAGGATACGTGACAAAAGATGGACGGCCAATGCAGACTATGTAAAAAAGATAAAAATACAGCACTGACGTGAGAAAACCAACTGATTCATGTGTCTCATTTCAGGGCTCTGGCTACCCAGCTTCACTGGTGTGACCCAGTGACACATGTACATGCACATGTTGGTACATTTCAAACAAATGAGCTGTGTAGTGGGAATTTTAATACACTAATGTGCATGTCGGATCAAGTCTTGTCCTCTCCGCCAATGCTGACAAATGGAAATGCCAAAGGGTCAGGCTTTGACAAATTTGCAGGTACATGTATGGGCAGTGTGTGTGTGTGTGCTTAAAGTGTACTGAAAATGGATAAAATCGCTTCACTACAGGCATTGTAACATGTACACTGTACCGTACATCTCAGGACAACATGCAAATTTTGGCAGAAAAATTGAACAGATCTGAAAAATAAACTTCACAGCCTGAGCAATACTATTCACATCATCACACTCTCAACAGTGGATGTTACACACATTTCATTTGTACATGTACGTGCAGTAGCATGCGATATACTCACCCTGTAACTTCCAGCCAGCTTTACAAGATGGCCGGCCACGCCGGTGGCTGTCTGTCAAGCGAGAGGAGAGAGGTCGGTTCTCTTCTTGACTCCGTAGGGGGAGGGTCTAGGATGAAGAGACACTGGGAGCAATGGGATGAGGCAGAACTGCTGTCTGGCTTTTTTTTTATATATCTTCCTCACTCTTGTAATCAACGATGCGGAGTGAATAGACAAAATGCTTCTATCGCCACTGGCAGCATGGACGGCTCAAGGATGCATGACGTTTCTTCCTCTCTGCATGTACATGAGGACTTCACTGCAAATGGAATAATGGATAGGAGTTATTTTCCTATGTGTGTCTAAATGCAGAAACGAGGTCGATAAAAGACGTTGCCATCATTGTGAGCTGGGCTTCGGGAGGGCTCCAAGTGGAGCATGGCTTTGTTTTCTAGCAATTAAGGCCATTCTTTGACCTTCAGGAAGCACTAGTTTATTGCAAGAGAAGCAATTAAAATTTCTAATCATCGTTAAGAAAATGGACTGATTTCTTTTTCTATTTGGGGTATGTACATGTACATGATGAGCTTGTCATTTTGGTTGCAAAATATAAGTTTGTTCATTTTTATTGGGCCCAACTGGTACTTCGTTTTATTTTTGTTTTTTTCGGGGGGGGTTTAATTTCACTGTACTGTGTTGTTCCAATCTATACATGTGTACAAATAGACAAGTTGCAAAATCAGTTATTTGCAACCACTAAATTATCTCTTTTTTGTGTACAATTAAATTGTTAACAAAGCATGGTGTACACATGTACATTCCGAGGATCTTCCTTAGTCCTTTAAAGTTTTAACCTGTCTTATCAAGTTTATTTCAGAGGAAGCAATTGCTAGTAAAGGCAGTATGCAGTTTTCAGGCGCCAATTTTACAGAGCTGGATAAGCACCTAATTTGCTTAAGCATGAAAAAAAATCCTTGCTTGATAAACAAAGGTTACCAGCTCAAATTCTATGTGATTGTCATGCTAACCAAAAGACTGGTAAATACCATTCCAAAACTATATATCTCACTAGAAGTTTTGGCTGGTAACCTGATTTGTCAAGCAAGGTTTTCACGCTTAAACAATTTTTTTGCTTAATTAAGCAGCACCATGAAATTGGCCCTGGCCAAGTCTTCTGCAGCAGGACTTGTCAGATTAGTAGCAGTCTCCCTCTTCTATGTGCAATTTCGATGAGCTGTTTGCATGGTACAAGCCATCTCTGCTTGTGAATAGCTGCAAGTACTTGGATGTGTACAAGAAATAAGGTTGAGTCAACAGCACAAATAATTGAATACTCGACCTTTCATTCGATGGATTATTTGAACATATGGTTACAAATGCCAAAGCCCCACAAGAGATAAATATATTGCATCGATCCATGGGAGCATTTTCAAGATGTATTTTTTTGCGTTGGGGAGATGTTAATTATATATAACGGGTTTGCCCTTACCCAACCTTACC